ACCCCCGCAGCCCCCCACCTGATACTCTATCTTCCGTAGAGTCCTCTTTGAAAGCCACTGGTGAAGTCAGTAAGGATGATTAGCACTTGGCAGATCTTGAGTCGTAATCTCAGTTGCCTTTGAATGAGTCACTAGATAGGAGACTCAAGCTCTTATCTTGTGAAAGGATAAAATTATAAGAGAACAGTGGCAGCCCTTCCTAACTCAGAATTTTTAGAAGTTCCATAGCATGTGAGAATTCTGTGCACATGAAATGCTATGATTACAGCTTTATTATTAAGTTCGTTTAGCCTAATTCGCTCTATGAGCACGTTTATTTTCATAGAGATCTTCAGCTGCCTTGAAGTTACCGTTAACACAGTTCTTAATTGGAGCGTTGTTAAATCTTTTATGTTATTTGAAAAGTATGGAAAGGAATAAAAATAAATTAAAGTCTAAAAGATGGTGTTCTATGATCAAACATGTCGTAGTTAATGTTAATATAGGGAAGGTTTGACCAAAGGAGGTGCATCTTGTGCTTTGAGGTTATTTTTTGGCTTCTTTGTTTTTGGGGTGTTTTTTTTGTGGGCGGGGTGTCTTAGAGAGGTTATTTTTTGGCTTCTTTGTTTTTGGGGGTTTTTTTGTGTGTGGGGGGGTGTCTTAGGTATTTCAAAGTGGAGAGAGTGAGGGTACCTGTAATCATTATTAGATTATCGTACTTTAATGAAGAAATACAGGCTGAAGAAAATGCCAAAAATCGGGGCCACCAGGCAGTACAGTCGTTAAGTTGCTGGACTCCCACATCGTAGACTGTGGTTTGAGTCCCAGATCCAGCAGCTTGAAAATCACACCAGGCATGTGTGTGTGTGTGTGTGTCTGAAGTCCCAAGAAGAGAATGGAGGAGGAAGGATTGCAGTGTGGCCATCCTCCCTCGGGTGGAGTTTTTTTTTTTTTTTTTCTATCTCTCTAGTAAGCACATATGACAAAAACACATATGACCTATGACAAAAACCTAAAAAAGAAAAAAATAGAAAGAAGGAAAAAGGAAATGCCAAAAATGAAGTAGGAAAAATTTTGGTGGCAGAAGGAAAAAAGAGAGAAAGAAAACGAAAGAAAATGTACCAATACGAAACTCCCCGTTTCCCGGCTAGTACTTGCTATAGGTGTTTTACGTGTATTGTTGTATCTTACTTGGAGAAAACAAAAAAGGCAGCAACTCGCAGGCCAGTAGATTAAAGGCACTCTCGTTCTCCATTAGTCCACATACCTTAAACTGCAGGTGGGATGAAATTTATGTTTCATGCCTTCTTCCAAAAAGCAGATGGCCCTTTGAAAGTCAAGGCCTGACCTTGTTGTACCAAGGATATTTCTGGGCCTTGAAACATTCATTCGGAAGGTCCTTTGTTGACTCGGTTATGAAGACAGATGAAGTTCAGTCTCCATCCTCCAGAGCAGGAGACAAAGCACACACACAAGCGTCATACACAGCAGTGAAATGCCCATAGGAACCGGGGAGCTCAGGTGAGCTCTGCTCTAGCTGAGGTGGTCGGGGAAGGCATGGAGACAGACTGGTGTTTCTTTCTTTTTAAAAAAGAAATTATTTAATTTTATTTATTGTTATTCTTCAGTTTGACCAGAGAGACAGAAAGAGGGAGAATGAGAAAGCAAGCTGCTGGGTCCAGGACCATAGTCAGCCATGTGGGAGTCCTGCGCCTTAACCACCATACCACCTGCAGGCCCCAGAAAGACTGGGTTTTCCTAAGAGATGAAGTGGGAGCGTTAAAGCAGGTGCATTGAGCAAGGACATGGAGACAGAAGCAAGTGTTAGTTACATCCAAAGAACAGCAAATAGCTATATAACTAGGTTGTGTAAAAAACTGTGGAAACTAAGATGAGGAAGACATAGTGGGACCAGCTATGAAAGGCCTCGGGCGTCGGCGGTGGTGCTTAGATCTTATTGATGGCGTTGAATGTGTTGAGCCTGGAAGTGGTAAGAGTAAAACAGTGTTTTGGAAAGAATGAGCCACGGTCTCATGGTCTGTGGGACAGGTGACTAAGAGAGAGAACAGATTGAGAGACTGTTGCAGTTTAGGTGTAAAAAGGGGGGAGAAGGGGTGTTTGTTCCAGGAGAGTAATAACAGAAATAGAGAGAGGGGCAGGTGAGAAAAATGCAGCACAGGCAAAATAACAAATTAGTAACAGAAGCAAGGGAAAGGGGGAGTCGAATGTTGCCTCCAGGGTTTCAAATCTGGGAAATGGAAAAGTTGGGGGAAGAAAAGCTGCATGGTTCGTTTGGCGTCGAATGTTGCCTCCAGGGTTTCAAATCTGGAAAATGGAAAAGTTGGGGAAGAAAAGCTACATGGTTCATTTGGGGCATAAAGAGCTTGAGGTCTGACATGTAAAACCCCCAGCAGGCAGTTGTGACTGAGACAGGTGCAGTGACGGGTGTAGATCAGGACATAAAATTGTTTACAAGTCAGGATGTGGTGTGGTTAAGGCAGCTGACTCTCACATGGGCGACAGCACGGTTCAAGTCCTGGACCCAGCAGCATGTGTGCCCAGAATTCCAGAGGAGATTGAGATGGAGAAGGGACGGCAGTGTGACTGTCCCCCATGGACAGTGCTTTCTTGCTCTCCCTCTATCTCGCTGTCTCTCTTGGTGAGTACTCACACACCCTGGCAAAGGAGAAAAGTAAAGAAACTCGGTCTGCCCCATACTAAGTATTCAGCTTTGAACACGTCGCTGAATTTCTGTACTGCAGCGTCCCCACTTGAGACGGGGTAATAAATCCAGCCCTGCTGTCCAGAGCAGCGTCCGGTGAACAGGTGATCGCGTGGAAGCTCTTCGGGGCTCCCAGTCGCTTTTAGAGCAGAGTAAGAGAAAACCTTGGCGAATGCCCAGCTTTGTGGGGTCTGAGAACGGTGGCTGCTGGGATCCTGCCAGGTACACCGAGAGGGAGCGGAGCTGTGGTGTGATCGCTAGAGCAGAGAGAGGCCCGGAAGGTGAGAGGCAGGAGTCCATCAGCGGCTGGTGACGGAGGGAGAGATTTCGCAGGGCAGAGTGTGAGGAAGCCTTGTAAGAAGCCACGTACTGAGTGGGCGGAGAGGAAGCACACGCTGTGAGGATGGCTGACAGTCTTGAGATACTTATCCGAGAAAGGAGAGAAATGGGAAGACCATCATTTAAGGGAAGGGTTTTTCTTCAACTTGATTAAGACGAGCATGCCGGTAAAGACAGCCATCATCAAAACAGGTTGGATGCCTTCTCCGTGCTTACTGCACACGTGCCTGGGAGGGACGGGCTCCAAAAAGAGAATCGTTGCACCCCCTGACTGAGGTGAGGGGAGGAAACCCCTCCAGGAGAGAGGCTGTGGGTGAGGACAGGTTCAGGTGGGCAGTGGTTGGGGGTTCTGCCCGTGGCCGTGGTATTTTCGGCAGGAGTGTGTGAAGTAAGTAGGGGGCGTCTTGGTGTCTTGAGAAACGTGGGAACATCTTTCAGCAGTTTTTAGCAAGTACAGCTTCCTCGAAATCAGGTGTTTTTCCCTCTCAGGTCACCAGTAGGCCCCCTGAGCCAGAGAAACCTCGTGTTCCTGGGTATGGAGCGGGTAGGGATGGCACGAGGAGAGGATCCTTCGGGTTTTCTCACTCCACCTTGTCTTTACCTTCCCATTACCACCAGGGTGTGTTCGTTGTTGTTGGTTTCTTTTCCTTTTTTATTTTAAAGTTTATGTATGTATTTCTTTCATGAGAGAGAAACAGAAGCAGAAAGGCAGGCATCCCCAGTAGGGTCTCTCACCACAGTCCTCCCTGCACCCCCTGAGCCTACCCCGTCTTCCGTGTGGCTCTGGTAGCCCTCTGTGGCTGAGCCTCGTAATGTTTTTATATTCACCTTTTGGCTAAAATGATACATAGGTATTTTCTTCTACTTATATTCATAGTTAAATATTTTGGAGATGATCATTTTGCATTCAGGTAGGAAAAATATATTAAAAACATTTTTTTTACTATGGTATTTTGTTGACAGGTAACCAGATCCAGCAGTTATACTAGGAAGTCCCAGTTCCAGGTGGAAGAGGAGGACATTGAAAAACTAGAAATTAGGTATGTGTCTTGGGGTTTTACAGAACTGCTTTTTTTGTGGGCCAAAAGAAAAATCCTAAATTAAGGTGAACCAACCTAAATAGAATTCTCTAAAGCAGAGTGGTTGGTGAAATTTAACTTAAATCCAAATTTATCTTTTCAAATTTTGATTTCTTTGCAGAAATAAGTCAAGGTGTATTTATTTTATAAACAGATGACCTACTTCTCACCTATTTTACTGTACTACATTTTTGTTTTTCTGAAATTTAATTGCTCCTTAAATTTCCGCATCACAGCATAATAGATGGAAAAGCAATTACATCTCAGCTAATTTAGAAATAATTTTTTTATTCTTCTTAACATATCTGCTGTCTAACAGAAATTTCAGTGAGGTAAGAGGATAATTCAGTAGGTGCATGTGTTTGAAGTTTGTGCTACTTTCTAGGTCTTAAACATCTATACTGTTTGAGAAGGGCAAGTTTTGTAAATGCATGTGTAAGTGTGCTCTTAATAGTGTGTTTATCTAAAGGGTATATTAATCATGCATTTGGAGTGACCAGGTAATGTATTTTTCTAAATCACTTATCTTTACATATTAATTGGTTACAGTAGAGGAAGAAACTGTAGTCTTGTGTTGATTTCTTTTCTCAAATTCAAAAATATGGGCTGGATTCATAGCCTGACGGTTAAGGTAGCCAGATTTCACATGACCAGCCTAGGGTTCAGTCCCAGCCCTGGCGACCTGAAAGGCACTCTGGGCATGGCAGGCCTATGTCCCTGCAGTCCTGGCAGGGTGGAGAGATGGGGAAGGGATTACAGCTTGACTGCACCCTCTTTGGGGGGCGGCAGGGTACATTATTCCCCTCCCCCATCTCTGTCTCTGTCGCTGGTGAACACCAGAGAAAAAGAAAAATTCAACAGAGTAACTCCGTAGTCCTTAAAATAAAAGCCTAGACTTTTAAGCCATGAAACTTAAGCTCTCTGTTAAACTGCTTAAAATCGTTGCTGTCTGTGCTTTTTAATAAAAGCTACTGTGGTTATTTGCTTTCCTAGTTTGGGTAGTATATGACAATTCTAACAACTCTTACTTTTAAGCATGTAAAATTAATGTAAATCTAAGTAAGTTGAAGCAGTTTGTAAGTATCCATTCTCCTAAATATTGCTTGTAAAAACTAAAGCCAGAGTTTAATTTTCAGGATTGATTTGTGGAACAACGGCAACCTGGTCCAAGATGTGTTCCTAGGTGAGATTAAGGTTCCCGTGAATGTATTGAGAAACTCTTCTCATCAAGCCTGGTAAGAAGCCGGACATTTAATGAATGTCTTTGATACAGTGTATATGCAAATAAATGCTTACTATGAGTTTTAATTTGCCATAGAAAAAGCCAGAAGTGATTAATAGTTATTGATTTGGTCATTAATGTATTATTGCAGATAAGCACATTGGTAGTCTTATGACCTAACCTGTGGTTTTGAGAAAAAAGAACTGGACCATCTAGGAGTATTTTTGTTCAAAAACAAAACCTTAATTCTAAGGAGACAGTGGAGAGCACTTAAACATTACGTAGGAGTTGCCCCTGTGAGAAGATGCGTGATCGCAAAGAACACCTGCAGTTCAGAAGCTGTAATAGTCATCATAGAAGTTACGATGTTTGAAAGCATAGGGCTTATTCGGGGGACTCAGCTGTTGATGGGAGCTAAGGTGAATTTCCTTCACCACACTTCACTGTAGCACCATAGATGGCCCTGGTGGTGTTTTCTGAGCGGCGAGGGTCTGTCTGCATGTTACTGAGCTCTGGGGACTCACTAATGATCTAAACTGTTACCTTTTCATGACTTTCCTAGTGAAATTAAGCTGATGTTAAACTTAATTTTTGGCATTAGATTGATGATAGTTTCCTTCACACAATGGATATCAAAGTGTTTTTTTCTGTCTACAGCGCTAAAAAGCATGTGTATCCAGTAGGCTGTCCAGCATCCCTCAGGCTAGACTTGGGTCTTAACTGAGTATAATGAACATACCTGTCTCATTTGTCTTTTAAAGATCATGTTTTAGGGGAACCAGCAGTTAGCGTAATGGCTAGGTCGCTGGACTCCCACTTAGTCGACCACAGTTCTCGTCCTGGACCCGGTGGCTTAAAACTCACGCCAGGCACGTGTGCGTGCGTGCCCAAGATCCTGAGAGGAGAATGGAGGAGAAGGGATTGCAGCGTGACCATCCCCCCTGGGGGGTGATTTCTCGCTTTCTGTCTTTCTGTCTCTGTCTGTCTGGTGAGCGCACACGCCCTATAGTGAAAATCTCTCCAAAAAAAAAAAAAAAGATCACGTTTTAGGACTCAGTTTCTGCTGCCTGAAAGAGGAGTTGAAAATAAGTGTTTAGATGTTTCTTATGGGGTTCAGTCTCATATGTCCTTTTTTTTGGGGGGGGGAGGTTTTTGCTGTAGAAAGCGAGATATCATCCCCCAGAGAGGATGGCCATGCTGCAACCCCTTCTCCTCCATTCTCCTCTAGGGATGTTAGGCTCATATGCACACGCGCCTGGTGTGAGTTTAAGCCGCCGGATCCGAGAATCGAACTGCGGTCGACTACTTGGGAGTCCAGCGACATAGCCATTACATTAACTGCTGTTCTCAAGTTTCATATATCCATAAAAGAGCCTGTGTTTTCTGATTGGTCATCTGACATTCTTCATTTTGGACTGTTGGCCTTAAGCAGTTATCCTTTGTAGACTGATCTTCAGACTTTGACATCTTTATTTAGAAGTAAAAATCATATGCCATCATTCTCAGTATGAAAGAGGAAAATGAGTTGTACCTCCCAAAGCCCTCAAAATGATTGTGAAATGTGCCCCATAGCCTGCACTTCAAGTAAGACTGTCTCTAGACCTATCTTCCAAATTTGATAAAACTTTGTCCACCTGTCTCGACAAGATGGAAGAACATTAGTGGATAGAAATGATTTTCACTCGTATAAAATGCCAGTAGTTTAACTAGTCTTTGGTAAGAGTGTAAATATTTTAAAGAAACCTCCCAAAAGTAGAATTGCTAAAACTTATACAGCATGAAATAGAAACATCTGCTGATTCATTTATACTTCCATAAATGTAAGGAAATATAGAAAATGAATGCCATTTCCCTGTAAGTCAGGAACAAAATGCATAGCCTCCACTAGTGGTAGAGTTGCAGCATCCCCTTGTGGGATTCATGATAACTGCATGAAAACTGCAGAGGTTTATTTACCTTCAGGACTTTCCTGGTTGGTCCTTCCTTTCTCCTTCCCTTCTTTCCTTCCTCCTTTCCAAATTGATTGATTTATTCCTTCTGAGGGGGAGAGAGACACCTTCAACAAGGTGTTTTTATTTTTTCTACAAGAGGTAGACGTCCCTTCATGCTATGATCCCCCAGGCCGTCACCCAGGAGCGTGGGCATTTGTGTGAGATGAATGTCAGCACGTACCGGGAGACCTCAGGACACACCGCAGCCTTCCCTGTGGCCGCAGCGCCACGGCGCATCGAGTTACTGCCGCTTCTGCAGTTAGCCCGCTTCCTTTTCCACGTAGCTATAGTTGCCACTAGTTTTTATCTATTCTAATCATCTCCTAAAAGCTGGGGTTTTTTTCCAAGTTTTTTTACTTTATTTATGCACATGCATGCACAAAAGAGAGAGAGACAGGGATGAGGATGTAAGCAGGGTCTCATCATGCATAATCCCCTTCCTCCATTCCCCCTGCTCGTCAGGGTCTTGGGCACATGGGCCTGCACTTGGCTTATTCATGCCAACCAGAGATCCAGACCTGAGGTTGGCGGTGCAGCTGCCACCATTGCTTCAGCTCACTACTGCCTGTGCCTCCAGGGCCGCACCCAAGAAAAACTGATTGAAACTGATTCGTATTATCACGCGATCTGGTCACTTTGCTCTTCCTTTCTTGACCATCAATTCCATAATGATCTGCATTCTTTTTCTGATTTCTGTCAAATGTCACAATTCCCTAGTTAGCATTGATATTAGCTAGCTTTTTTCTTTAACTTACGTCAATAATAGGATTTTGTTGGATTTGTTTGAGTAGGTAATATACTCCCGTGGTTCACAAGTCAAAAGCTAAGTTTGTCTTTTATCCCTGCCCCCCACTGGTTATTCAGTTTCCTGCTTCTCAGGCAGCCACTGTGTTTGAGTTTCTGGAAACATTCTGTGTGTTTATAAGCAATTACATACATATCTTTTCCCCCTTCTTTTCACAAATGGACACATACTGTATGTTGCTTTACACCTTGCTGGTTTCACTGAACAATGTAGTAGAACTTCAATAACATAAATGTATGTTGACTCTTAATAGTGATTAAGAGAATGGACTCAGTAACCAAACTGCCTTGGTTCAAATCCCATCTTTGCAGGAACCAGCAGTTAGCGTAATGGCTATGTTGCTGAACTCCCACGTAGTCGACCGCGGTTCGTGTCCCGGACCCGGTGGCTTAAAACTCACGCCGGGCGCGTGTGCGTGCGTGCCCAAGATCCCGAGAAGAGAATGGAGGAGAAGGGATTGCGGCGTGACCATCCCCCCGGGGGGTGATTTCTCGCTTTCTGTCTCTATGTCTCTCTCTGTCTGTTTGGCGAGCGCACGCGCCCTACAGTGAAAAATCTCTCAAAAAAAAAAAAAAATCCCATCTTTGCCATTAACTACCTGTGTGACTTGGACAAGTTACTCATCCTCTCTGCCTTTTTGGCTTATATAGTGGGCAGGTACCAGTAGTACCTGCCTCCTGACAGAACGGGTTACTGAGATGTAAGCCACGGTGCCACTCGTGCTGTCATTGTTACAGTGATTGCTACTCTTGGGTTGTCAGAAGTCATGACGCCTTTTTGCATAGAGAAACAGAAAAATACCTCATGACTTTTCTGACAACCCGACATTATCACTATTATTCCTCATAATATACGTAGAATTTCTGCACCTTTTTTCATACTGTTCCGTTGTTCGGAATGTTATAAATGAACAGGACTGTGGGGCTAATCTGGTTGGCTCCCAGTTCCTCAGTGTCAGAGAACTTCATGTGTCAAACCTCTGTGTGATTCCTGTGCAGATCGGTTCAGGAATTCCCCTACAAGTGACCCAAAATGCAAAAGCAGACATTAAGCAAAGAAAATAGGTACAGATGTCTCCTCGTGCTGCGATTATTTCTGCGGTGGCGAGGACATGCAGTGCACAGGAAGAGACAGAGAGGCATCCTGGACAGAACAAGCCGCACCGGGCTCCCCTTCCTCCAGCCTCCAGCTCCTCAGGGTCCTGGGCGCCTGCCCACCCGGTGTGCTTCAGGCCAACTCGGGCTCCGCACCTGCAGTAGCTTGGTGTAGTCCCGTTTGCTACAACTGCACTACCTAGGCTGGGCCTCGTGTTGTAATTTTTCATTTAAAAAGTCAGATTTAAACAGTAGATAAAATAAATGGGAAATATTTAACAAAAGCACTTTATACGTACTTTACTCTCAGGTTACTGTTTCACTTGATGTGATTTGGTTTTCTAGTTTGCTACTGTTGGCATCTTCTGTCCTCAGTTTCTTTTTTGTGTCTCCCACACACAACACCTCCCTGGTGCCAGAAGACAGTGTGTGTCAGGGAGAAAGAGAGAGAAAATGTCCCTCAGTGGAGCCTGGTGGTGCCACAGTCCCCTTTTCTCCGCTCCTCCTTCCCGTCTGGGATTCTGGGCAAGTACCTACACACTGGTGTGATTTTCAAGCTAGCTGGCCAGGGTATGAACCACAGTCAGCTCTGTGGGTCCCAGCCGCTCCACACGGTGCCTAACCACTGTGCCAAGGGCCAGCTCTTGCCTCAGGTTTTGTTGTTGTTGTTTTTGAGAGTTTTTTGCTATAGGGCATGTGCGCTCACCAGACAGAGACAGAGAGACAGAAAGCGAGAAATCACCCCCCAGGGGGGATGGCCACACCGCAATCCCTTCTCCATTCTCCTCTCAGGATCTTGGGCACACATGCACACGCACCCAGTGTGAGTTTTAAGCCACTGGGTCCGGGATGTGAACCGTGGTCAACTACCTGGGAGTCCAGCGACATAGCCATTACGCTAACTGCTGGTCCCTTGCCTCAGGTTTTTAACATATCTTTTTACTATTTGAATTTAGAAAATGTGGAAGCCTTCTATCTTTAGTAAAAATCCATTTGTAATGAATTTTTTTTTTTTTTTTGAGAAGTGGTTCACCAGAAAGAGACAGAAAGCAAGAGATCATCCCTTCTCCTCCATTCTCCTTGGGATCTTGTGCACACACGCACACGCACCCGGCATGAGTTTAAGCCACCCGGTCCAGGACTCAAACCACGGTCAACTATGTGGGAGTCCAGCCACATAGCCATTACGCCAACTGCTGGCCTCCATAATGATTATTTTTATAGAACCGGGAATAGCATTCAAGTACGAGCAGCACTGTCTCTGGACAGTTATTTTCCAGCTTATTTAACATCGTGTAGGAAAAAACAATTAGTTTTCATCTACTTCAGTTTTAATTGCACAGACCTTATTTAAGTAAAGTTCTCAAATGCTGTGTTTTTCTATTATGGGCTGTCAAAACGGCTGACTTGAAAACATAAGGATTGCTCTTACGCCTCTCCAGTTGTGAAGGAAGAAAGGGAATGGTAACTGAATGCCGCTCTCCACTGAGAGTTTTTGTTTCCTGTGTCTTACTCTTTTGAACTGAAATGAAGAAAATATATTTGAGATTTTTTCTCCCCTAGATCTTAGGACTCCAGATATCCCCCATTTACGAAATCTTGCGACTTTTCTCTTTAGCTCCAATCCATACTGGATTATTTAATAAACAAGGTTCCCTCAGGTGGTCTATTAAATTGAGTCCCTGTAATAATGTTTCTAAAGTAATAATTACATTTGCAGAGTTATACAGATAACTGTAATCTGCAGTTATTCACATGTTTATGTGGTCACAGTAATAGATATTTTTATATATGTGAACATAAACGTATATAACGTTGACATGGTATTTACTAAGTAGTACGGAGTATTTATTCGAAGTGAAGTGCCTTCCTTACACACCTCTGTAGGGTTGTCGTGAGGATTCGATGGACGAGTAGGCACTGTCACTTCCTCCTCTTTAACAGAGGAAACAAGCATGGGGTGGGAGCGACTTGTCCAGGGTCACACAGCTGGGACTTGAACCAAGCTGTCTGACCCCAAGTTTGTACTGTAGTAAATTTGTACTTTGGCCTACTTTTTAATCTGCTTAAAGCTCAAAACGCTTATCTGAATAAAGCTGTCAGCAAAGATGTGCACATCCCTTGCTTATGAAATACGATTTCAAAGAAGACCAGAAAGACCCGAAGTCACTGAAAAGAATCTTCTCGAAGGTGCATAAAGTAATCACGTTTGGAGTTTTGTATTTTTTTCAAGTAAACATGAATGAGATATTTTGTCTGGAGATACTTCTCTTCTTCCAAAGAAAACCCCAGGAGACAAGTGTAGCAAGTGTGGCGGGTGTGGGCCCTTCCGGAGTTCTGGGCATTCTGAAACAGTGCGTAGGTAAAAATGGATAGACAGCACCGCACTACTAATCCCTCTTCGTGGGGCCTTGCTACGTTAGGGTTGGAGATGTGGTAGTTTGGGTTTTATGGAATTAAGGTTGCCCTCGGAGCAAAGTTCCCGGAGAACGAGTGAAAACTGATTTTGTGTGTTGGTGTGAGGAGTGTGGAGGCACTGCTGAAGGTCAGTAGGTGCAACCCCAGAGAGTAAGAGTGTAGCAGAGTAAGGAGTGATACTGGTCATGTTATTCTGTAGTGTATAGAAAACAACTAGTTAAATAGAAGAAAAAGATTCATCTAGCGTAATAATAAAGGATCCCAAAGAGGCAGACTTGGCTACTCTCCATTCAAGCACAGCTGAAGGGAAAGGGGATTCTGGTCCAAAAGTATTACTGTTCCCATGGAAAAATTAGTTTTGGTTGAGAGATTCTAAAGATATCTTAAAATCACCTTGTTGTGCATCAGTGTTCCACCATAGCACCTTGTCACCTAGAAATTGAACTTTCCAAATAGAAAAGAGACGTACTCGTCAAGTAAGGAGTACAGACGAGAGCCCCGTGTACGTGGGCAGTCGGAGCCCATCAGTACGTCCCCGCAGCGGTGGTGAAATCGCTCACTTACCACTGTCCTCACCCCTCTCCACTCTTGCGAATGGACGATTCTATAGTAAGATGTACTGGCGAGGCCAGCCCCATGGCCTAGTGGTGGAGAGCTGGATCCCACTGGCCAGCCGTGGTTTAAATCCCAGCTCTTCGGCCTGAAAAACATGCCAAGCTCATGTATGCGTGTGCCCCAAATCCTGACTGGATGGAGAAGAAAGAATTGCACTCGACCATGCCCACTTAGGGGTCCTCTCTCTCTCCCTCTCTCTCGCTCGCTCACTCACTCCCTCTCTCCTTCCCTCCCCCCTCACTCTTGCCCACACACCCTCTGGCCAAATAATAATAATAATAAAAAAACCTTATTTAACCACTTTAAGTCCTATACTTTTGTTTCCTGGATAAAAATCTGTGTACAGATTGATCTCTGAAGATCAGGAGCTTGCCGTGTATGTCCCTTAAATACTAAGCTGACTTTTTTGTGTAGTTTTTTACACCCTACCTGTTCCCTTACCTCACTTGGCCTGGATGCTCATTGCCATGGCATGGCCTTGATTGTATTTTTACTCTAGGTACTTGCTACAGCCGAGAGACAATGGGAACAAGCCATCTAAAACCGATGACCTGGGGTCTCTTCGGCTGAATATATGTTACACAGAAGACTATGTGCTCCCTTCAGAGTACTACGGGCCTTTGAAAACTTTGCTGCTAAAATCACCAGATATTCAGGTACTTTAAAAATCTTAAGTAGGGGCCAGCCAGTGGCATGGTGGTTAGGGTACTGGACTCCTACATGGCTGGACACGGTTCAAGTCCCAGACCTGGCAGCTTGAGAATCACCCCAGGTGCATGGGCATGTGTGCCCAGGATGAGAAGGGAGAGGGGATTGCAGTGTATCCTTCCCCTCTTCCCACTCCAATGATTTATTCTGAACATGAAATTGCAGGACCCTGCCCAGGAAAACAGAAAAGCATTTTCTGGGGTGCGTAGGTGCAACAGTTCTTTTTATTTAGTTCTGAAAGCAGATGACACACGGGACCAGCAGTTAGGGTAATGGCTATGTCGCTGGACTCCCACGTAGTCGACCGCGGTTCACGTCCCGGACCCGGTGGCTTAAAACTCACGCTGGGCGCGTGTGCATGCGTGCCCAAGATCCTGAGAAGAGAATGGAGGAGAAGGGATTGCAGCGTGACCATCCCCCTGGGGGGTGATTTCTCGCTTTCTGTCTCTCTGGCGAGCGCACGCGCCCTATAGCAAAGACCTCTCCAAAAAAAAAAAAAGCAGATGACACAGACAAAATTGCAGATTAGCATAGGAATCCTTGCATTGCCTTTGCCCAGAACAGGTATCAGGAAGTGGGGGCTTGTAGGTTATGAGTGGGTTTAGAAATTTAAGGCTTAGTCATCGGTTAAGTACATAAACCTTTGTTCCAGGAAGACTGAGTGGGCAGTGGAATGCCTGTGTTTTACTTAAACACGGGTCAGAAAACTTTACTGAGTATCATAAAACAAGGATAGAGGTGAGGGCACCCGCAGTCCCTGGGCAATGGCCATGGCAGCCTGCTACAGCAAGGTCAGTGTCGGTCGGCCTGACTCCTGGGGCCCCTTTGGAAGCATATCGTTGAAGAGAGTATAGCAGGTAGTCCGAATTCTGCCATCAGCAGTGTGGCTGCTGAATCACGTTTGAATCACATTTAGAGGTTAGTGATTGAGCATTTAATCCCATCCCCTTGATTTTTGTATTTGTTTTCTACCTTTCTGTATTCTAGCCAATATCTGCCTCAGCTGCTTACATTTTGAGTGAAATCTGTCGAGATAAAAATGACGCCGTTTTGCCCCTCGTACGATTGCTGCTGCATCACGATAAACTTGTTCCTTTTGCCGCCGCAGTGGCAGAATTAGACTTGAAGGATACACAGTAAGAGTTTTATTTTATTAGTTAACTATGTGTCACCAGAGTTGGACCTCTGTTTGCCAGATTATTTTTATAGTTTGAGTTTTTTTATATTGACCATAGTAGATGGAAAACAACTGCTTAGCATTCAGTAAAAAGCAATTCTTTAAGTCATGAGATCCGGTAACTACCAGCTGTAAAGACTCCAACTTGGGACCAGCAGATGGACTCCCACATAGTCAACCATGGTTTGAATCCTGGACCCAGCACCTTAAAACTCACGCCGGGCACATGTGCATGTGTGCTCAAAATCCCCAGAGGAGAATGGAGGAGAAGGGATTGTGGTGTGGCCATCCCCCATCGGGGGTGATTTCCTACATTCTGTCTCTCTGGTGAGCACATGGCCCTATAGCAAAAATCTGTCTAAAATAAGCAAGCAAAAAAAAAAAAAAAAAGACTCCAACTAATGAAGGATTTTGTTTTCCTTAGTGACAGAACTTTGTTACTAACCTTTGCTTCTGAACGTAATTATTCACATGTCACAAAACACCAGGGCAGAAGTTGGGTACTTTTCCCTTGTCCGTTTTGTGGTGCCCTTCCATGCACACGTGTGACATGAAAAGCAATCACGTGGGGGCCATAGGTAGCATGGGTTAAGGCACTGGACTCACACATGAATCAGAAAAATTGTAACGATGACCAAAGTCAAATATGATTTGGTTTTACAGCTTTTCTTCACAGCACTTAATTTTACTTGTTTCTATTTCAATTTTAGAGACGCGAACACAATTTTTAGAGGAAACTCCTTGGCTACCCGATGTCTGGATGAGATGATGAAGATAGTGGGAGGGCACTACCTGAAAGTAACGTTGAAGCCGATTCTAGACGAGGTACGGCTACACCTCCAGTAATGAGAGTTGTGGCCTCAGAGCTTTTCCTTCAGCACGCGAGCTATTGATGTGGTCTCGCGTGTGTCGCTGAAAGAATAAGGCTGAACACATTGGAATTAAAGTAAATTATTTACTTTCCTATCACAGACTTTTACTCAAAGGCACATCGAGGTATATGTTGTATCTGTCACTAGATTTCTGTTTTAGCTGGAGTGTCGAACTTATGAGATGTACTTACTCATATAGTCCTCTAAGAAAACTGTATGTATTATTTCTGTTTGGGGTTTTAAATTTCACTAGCTTTAATTTTTATAATTTACTTTTATCAGGAAAAAAATCTTCATTTTTGTCAAGTTAAACCAAATAAACAGTAAGAAATAAATAGGAAAGAGCATTAACTGAAAAAAATTATTTTCCAGATATGTGAATCCTCAAAATCCTGTGAAATCGATCCTATTAAATTAAAAGAGGGAGATAATGTAGAAAATAATAAGGTGAGTCCTTGTCGCCTTTGGTCTCTGTGCTGCAGTTCTGTCCCGTTCATGTCACAGTATGCTCTCTGGAGTAACCAGTGCTATTTCATCTGTACTTGAGCATTTTCTAGGAGTATTTCCAAGAACTCGTTTTTAGAATATTTTGTCAGTGTTCTTACTGGTTTTCTGTTCTTGATGGTCTCTTTTTTGGCTTTAGGAACTGTAGTAGATTTAGAATGCAACGTGGCACAACCCCTGTGCCAGCCTTTCCTCCAGGGTCAAACTGACCAGGCTGAGTGGCAGTGACTTGGTCGGCCGATACTTCTATGCTTCTGGGGAAACAGTAGGGTCACAACTTTGTATTGCAGGGAGGAACAGTGTCACAGTGTCCTTGCACTGCATATCTGAGTTATTTCCCTGATTTCCATTTAGATCATTTTATTCTCTCTCACTTCTTGCGAAGTTTGTTTGTGTTCATCTCTTAAGTGTAGCAAGTCTAAATTTAATTAATTATTAGGTCACAACATCAATTGCTTTGTAACTGAGTTTGGTAAAGAAAAGTTGGGCTCTAGATTACCAGGTGGTGACTGTCTGATAAATTGTATTTTCATTACATTCTATTACTTTTTAAAATAAAGACAATTCGAGATGCGTAAAAGTAAAAGTCTGGATGTTTCCCTTTGAATCCTGCAGGAGAACCTGCGCTACTATGTGGACAAGTTATTCAGCACAATCGTGAAATCCAGTATGAGCTGCCCCACCGTCATGTGCGACATCTTTTATTCGCTAAGGCAGATGGCTACCCAGAGGTTTCCCAGTAAGTGCTTTGTTTTAGTAAAACATGTCATTTCTTTTTCTGTGTTTGATTTTTTTTTTTGAAAATGTTAGTTTTGATTTTTTTGTGTGTGTGAAATGTTTAAGGTTTATATATAGAGTTTTCTTTAGTTTTTCAAAAGGATTCCAGCTTTTTTCATAAAAACATCTATTTTCTGGACCAGCAGATGGCAAAATGTTATGTTGTTGGGCTCCCACATAGTGGATCACGGTTCAAGTCCCAGACCTGGCAGCTTAAAATTCACACCAGGTGCATGTGCATGCATGCCCAAAATCCCAAGAGAAGACTGGAGGAGAAGGGATTGTAATGTGGCCATCCCCCCAGTGGGTGATTTCGCGCTTTGTGTTTCTCTGACAAGCACACATACCCTATAACAAACATCTCTTTCAAAAAGAAAAAAATGCAGAAGACATCTATTTTCTTGTCATCTCGAAACCTGTGTTCAATTGTATTTCAGTATAATGACAACTTTATGTAAGGAGCAGGTCAAAATCACCATTTGTTTTAAGCCAAAAGTTTAGGACTATACAGTAGTGTAGTAGTGAAGCCCTGAGCACAGAAAGCCAGGTCCTGCGTGACTGACCATGGTTCAAATACCAGTCCTGGCATCCTGAGACCTACACCAGTACACCAGGCATGTGTGCCCAGACCCCGACAGGATAGGAAAACGTAAGGAAAGGGGTTGCAGCATGACTCCACCCCATGGGGAGGGATCTCTCTCTCTCCCTCTCTCTCAGTCTGTTTGTCTCTCTCTGGCAAGTACAGGTACCCTCTGGCAATTAAGAAAAAAACATGAGAACCATAACATCGTATAAGTAAACATTTATACCAGATGCTTATGTAACTGTGCAGTAGAATCGAAACACCTTGGCTTCTTGTACCTCCTTCCCAGTTGTGTTGCGGCACCTAGAGGAAACCTCTAGTTCCATGTGATCGCCTAGGTCTTAGAAGCCTGAGAGTGCTGAAGTTTGGTGATAAGTTTTACAGAACTGGCTTTAGATACTAAAACATCTCTATTTCAATATACATAGAATTTTGAGATATGCAGTCAGTAACTGGTATGCTTCAATTTTACAGAAGTAATATGTTAAAGTTTTGCTTGGAAATATTTAACAAAATTAAATATCTATGATTGCCAGTACTTGGAATTATTCTAATTTTAATGAATCTCTAGTAAGTAAATAAACTTGTTCTAGCTGTCCTTCCAGATCTGCCTATAACAACGTGGGGATGGGTGGAGGGGTTGGGGGATGTAAGACAGCTATTTAAATTACCGGTCTTATCCAGCAGATGAAACTGGAAGTTTATTTCTATGACCATATGAAGACATTTTGCTATTGGGGGGGGGGTTCTTTTAAGTATGTGTGTACATGTGTGCTGTTAACTACCTCTCTGCTAAGTTTACCCAGTACTAAAATAGTAGAACTGAGCTGTCTAAAATAGAGAAAGTCAGGTCTATGTCTTTGCTAACTACACGTAAAGACACAAGCAGTTCACTTTTAAAAAGTATACTCATGGGGCCAGCATTTGGCATGATGGTTTAGATGCTGGACTTTCACATGGCTGACCACGGTTCAAGTCCTGGACCTGGCAGCTTGAAAATTACATGGAATGCATATGCTTGTGTGCTCAAAATTCCAAGAGGAGAAGGGATTGCAGCATAGCCATGCCCCTGGAAGGGGGATGATTTCTTACTTTCCCTCTCTGTCTCTCTCCAGCAAACACATGTGCCCTATGGGGGGGAAAAAAAAACCTTAAATAAATAAGTGTACTAATTTAAGTCTTTATAACAAAAATAAAACTGTAAATTCAATCAGTATTTCTCCATTGGAAAGTGATCACGGTAGCCACCTTGACTACTTAGCAAGTGAACAGGCTTGACTCTAGCCCGCGTTCTCTCTTATTCTCACCTCTATACCACTGCGTGAGGAGCCCAGGCTGGCGAACTCCAAAGCACATGCTGCTCATCATTATACTCTACACTGCCCGGTGATGTTGGCCTTAAGTATTGCAGTTTAATTGTTTTTGTATATGGATCATTGAAAACACACCGTGTTTATGTAAAATATAAATGCAGGTGTATCTCCTTAACTATTTTTTCAATGGCCCAATGCGTTTTCATATCCCGAGTAGATTACAACTGTGATAGTTTTAGTTGCCATAAAATCTTTTGTGTTCCTTTGTTCTTCCTGCTACCCTGAGAGGATAGGTGGAAAAGTAGAGAAAGCAGGTGGGAAACACATATTCGTAAAGAATGACCAATTAAACGACTTGCTGGTTGTCACCTGTTGAGTGACTTACATGAGTTAAAACTCAAACCAAAGGCAAAGATTCTTCCCTTCACCATCTGCTTCTCTGCCATCTGATGCTTGGGTTAAGTTTGGACTCCGTTTTGAAAGTTGTAGGTGAGTGGTCAGAGCCACAGGTAGTCTTCATTTCATCTGCATTTTTATATGGAGCAGTGATTTTTAAAGTAAAGATTTATACATAATTGTTTTTCTTGCGTAGCCTATGATAGTACCAAGATTTTTAGAGGAAAAATTGAAATAATAACCTAAAAGTGAAAGCAATCTCATATCTTAGTCTTAAGGAATTCAGTGTCACCACTAGGTAGTGCTAGATACTACTTTCATTTTTGTACTGTAATTTCAAGAGTCTCTTCTTGCAGATGAGGGAAGAGGTATTTTTCAAATTAAGTCTTTCAGAAAGCCTAGCAGCTTTCCCTTTTGTTTTCCTTATTATTTCTTATTTCTTTCCGTAGTGTTTTTGGTGTTTTTTTTAGTCATAGGGTTTTATCTTTTAATTTAGTCATGATCATTGCTAATCATTTCATCGGCTCGATCTATACTAGACAGATGATACCGCTCTGTCTACACGTCTCCGGTATTTTTACTCTGTTTTATACATAATTGTTTTTCTTGCGTAGCCTATGATAGTACCAAGATTTTTAGAGGAAAAATTGAAATAATAACCTAAAAGTGAAAGCAATCTCATATCTTAGTCTTAAGGAATTCAGTGTCACCACTAGGTAGTGCTAGATACTACTTTCATTTTTGTACTGTAATTTCAAGAGTCTCTTCTTGCAGATGAGGGAAGAGGTATTTTTCAAATTAAGTCTTTCAGAAAGCCTAGCAGCTTTCCCTTTTGTTTTCCTTATTATTTCTTATTTCTTTCCGTAGTGTTTTTGGTGTTTTTTTTAGTCATAGGGTTTTATCTTTTAATTTAGTCATGATCATTGCTATCATTTCATCGGCTCGATCTATACTAGACAGATGATACCGCTCTGTCTACACGTCTCCGGTATTTTTACTCTGTCCTCCCGGTGGGAGCCGGCGTTTCTGTGCGTGACGTCTCACCTTTCTCTCCCGCAGATGACCCTCATGTCCAATACTCTGCCGTGAGCAGCTTTGTGTTTCTCCGTTTCTTTGCTGTAGCCGTAGTATCACCTCATACTTTTCATTTGCGACCTCATCATCCAGTAAGTGTTTGTTCTTCTCAAAGCTTTATTCCATTTTTATCTATTTTTATTCAAATGAGGGAAAGATAAAATAAGCCCATTGCACTTGGCTGTGTTTTCTTAAAATCGGTACTTAAATTTACTCTGCATTTTTCATGGCCACTTCACAGCCTTTTTAGATAAGGCCGAACATCCTATTTTTCGTTGTTGCCATTTCTGCACAGGAGTGGTAAATGTTGGTGACTGCTGACGCTTGGTGTTGAGTTCAAAGAGGATTCATCATATCCTTCCCTCCGCTGCTGGTGTGTGTTTAGAGATTTTCGTAACGTAAGGGTTTTTTTTATTTTTTATTTTTTAAATTACAGGCTTAGTTGTTTGTTTTGATAATAGAACTTTCTTGCCAGATACATTAAAGTAGTTTTCTCTTGCAGCACTTTAAAATTGTACAGCAATTTGAGAAAGCTCATTTCTGAAATGCTTGGGAACCTGTCTTGGAACATAATTTGTTGGGTACCATGTTTTTGTTTTTTATTCACCTGAGGTGACATTATAAACACGAGATTAAAAAACTTTTTAAGCGTACCTTTTTGTTCCGAAGTCCTTTTTAATTACCTAAGTTCCCACTACATAAACATATATGTTTATTTTTTGATGTTTAAAAAATTTATAACTATTTTTGCTATATGTTTTTTCTCATACAATGTATTTTTACTGATTCTTTAAGCTTTTATATTCCAAGTATTTTGTAACTTTATCTAATTGTTATTAGTTGCTCATTTATAGAACAAATAGTAATAATAGCCAACATTTATTGGGTCGTTGGGAAGGTCATGAGCATTTGTACATAGAAAAATACGTGACGACTTCCCCATCGACCCAGCATTTAGTGCTGACTTTGTGCTAGGCCTTGTTTCTTTAACTCGTTCAGGCCTCCTGGCAACCCTGTGAGGTAAGTTCTGTCACCATCCCCATTTACAGAGAGGGAAGTCATGATACACTAATTTCTCTAAACTCACGAAGCTAATCCGTTGCGATTTGGTCTTACTCAGTTTGAACTGGATTAAACTGGGATTCTAACCCAGTCAGTCTTCGCAGTCTGTGAGCCTAACCCTGTTCCTTCCAGCATTTTGGGCAGACGGATGTTCAAGTGCCAGTAATGTCAAACCTCACGTTCAGCTCTGGAGATGCAGTGACGAGGAAGATACCCCTGTCGTAGGACACGCACAGTCAAGTGGAGCTGCTCCTCAGAGACGCTAGCATAGGGAGGGCTGGGGCTCCCGAGCCGGGCTGGGCTCCGAACGTCCACACCTCCTCTTGACGGTGGCACAGCTGCGCTCACCTGTGTAACGTTGCGAGGACCGAATAGAACCACCACGTCGCAGTGCCAGCCACATACACTTTCTGGCCAACGATAAATGCTGTGTTCGTAGCCACAGCAGAGAGTGGGCCAGTGTCCTTTTGTTGACAGGGCCGTGCTTTCTGTGGCTGTGTAAAAGCTCTGGGCGGTGAAGGCTGGGAGCAGCATTCTGGACATAAACAACTCCTACCGCAGAACTTGTGACTCTGCTTTGTATTCAGGCTTGAATTGGCTTATTCCTGTAAGAGCCGTTGAAAGCCTTCTCGCCACAGACTACATTTCTAGGCCATTGTTTTTCAATCAGTATCCCAGGAAGATAGCTTTTAAATTGTCATAATTTTTCTTTGTTAGCATTTGCTATAGGGTGTGTACGTTCACTGGAGACAGAGAGAGGGGGAAAGTGAGAAAGGCCCTCCCAGGAGGAATGACCACACCACAGTCCCTTCTCCATTCTCATCTCAGAATTTTGGGCATGTACGCACACATGCCTGACATGTCCAGGACTTGAGCCATGTAGTCAGCAATGTTGGATCCCACACCTTAATCACCGTGTCACTGGCTGGTCCCAAAACCGTCATACAATTTTTATTGTTTGCTTTAATGTATCCTCCTTTTATTAATTGCCAGAGGGCATGTGTGCTTTATCAGAGAGACAGAGAAAGGGAGATAGTGACCCTCTCAGTGGGGCATGGTCATCCGCCATTCCTTTTCCTCTGTTTCTCCTTCCTTTAGGATTTCGGGCACACAGACATGTGTGTCTAGCATGTTTTTCAAGCCCTCAAGGCTGGGAATCCAACCATGGCCAGCCTTGTATAATTTGGGTCTCTTAACTGCTGCCTCTATCTCTAGATCCATTCTACTTTTTAAGAGCCTTTCAGTCTAATTGGGGGAATAGCACCAAAATACCAGATGGGTATTCTAGAATTACGTGTGTAAGTTAGTACCTGATTAGCACTGAGGAAGGAGGATACAGTCATACTGTAGAACCTGAGAACAGGGAAAGGGCCCAGGGCTTGAGGGTGACGAATCGCTAAGACGAGTAGTGAAGGTTGCAGAATGTTTGTGGAGAACAGATTCAAGGTTGTTGGGTTTTACATTTAGAAGTTTTTTGAATTTTGTGAAATCACTTTTAGAATAGAAAGGAAGAAAATCAGATTGCAAAATGTTAAAGAGTAAGTACATGGATGTAGTCGTACCCAGGGAGTAAATCAAAAGTGAGCATGCCCTGCTGCTGAAAGGCATGGGTGTACCGAAGCATACCCTCGTGTACACATACATGCGTGATGAGTAACTTCTTTAAAAAACTGATGTAGGGCCAGCAGGTGGCGTGGTGGTTGAGGGTGCTGGATTCCCACATGGCCGACCGCAGTTCAGGTCCCAGACCTGGCAGCTTGCTTTCTCACTTTCCCTTTCTCTCTCACTCTCTCTCTCTGGTCAAATTAAAACATAATAATAACTAATAGAATTAAATAAATAAATTCTTATTTTAAAAAAGCACTGTTGTAAAAATACAGGTTATGTTAGCATTGACATGGTTTAATCCTCTTTCTTTGGGATATGTGCTCACCAGAGAGGAAGAAAGAGAGCACTTGGCTGTGTTGAGGTGTGGCGCACTCAACAAAGTAATGGGTCCACATTGGAAAACAAGAGAGCTGCTCCATGCTTTCCTCCATTTCCCCATCCCGTCATAATTTTGGGGCACACACACACATGTGCACCCAGATGTTTCCAAGCTGCCACGGCCAGAATTCAAACTGTGGCCGGCCATGTGGGACCCAGCTCTGTGTGCAGCAGCACGTACCACTGTGCCCTGCAGTTGGCCTAGGAGACAACTCTTTTGAGAAGCTTCTTGGTGAAAACAACATACTGTCCTGATAACCCCCATTCTCTCATTAATAGCCAGCTCCATTTGAAGCTCAGCCAAGGCAGACATCTCTAACCCTTTAGTCTAGTTATGGGCCTTTCTCTCTCTCTCTCTTTTTAATTTTGTAAGAGATTTTTTGCCTTAGGATGCATGTGTTCACCAGAGAGAGACAGAGACAGCGAGAGGGAAAGTGAGAAACCCCCCCACCCAGGGCAGTTAGCCACACTGCAATCCCTTCTCCTCCATTCCCCTCCTAGGATCTTGGGCACGCGTTCACACATGCCTGGCATGATTTTCCAGCCCCTGGGTCTGGAATTGAACAGTGGTCGACCATATGAGAGTCCCGCAGCGTAACCACTGTGCCCTCTGTTGGCCCTGGTTATGTTCCTCTCCTACGTGTGTCTGTCACATCCTGTGGCCCTCTGCCATGGCGTTTGTCATACTGTTTCGTGATTGTTCATTTACAGTTTCTGCATGTGGCCTGTCAGTACCTTAAGAACTAGGTGAGATCTTTTTCAGGTTTGTGTGTCCTAAGCACATGGCAGTTTCTAAGACAAGGAAATGTTCAGTGTTTAATGAACAAGCGAGGGTAGCTCAGAGGGAGCTCATTTAATGACGAGTCTTTTCCTAAGTGAGAAAACCTACGTATGGTTTAAGTAGAGAGAAGAGACCACCAGAGGGGAAACGTTAAAGAGTGAACGGAGCTTTCTGATACCAAATCAGCATCCCGGAGGGTTCAGGAGTGTTGTTTTCAAAGAGAAAGTAATGGGTCCACGTTGGAAAACAGGAGAGCTGCTCTTTTGAAATATGGTGAACCATATGAAATTATTGGTTTCTTGTAGATCAAAAATAGTAAAATAATGGCAGTTTCATGTGACTCAATATAAAGAAAGATAGGATATGTTAATGTACACCAGATTTTTTAAAGAATTATTTTATTTATTTATTTATTTATTTATTTATTTATTTATTTCAATTTGACCAGAGAGAGAGAAAGTGAGAAAGCAAGCTGCCAGGTCCAGGACTCCCATGGTTGGCAGTGTGGGAGTCCAGCGCCCTTAACCACCATGCCACCTGCCAGCCCCAACTGGGTTTTTTAAAATAAGTTTTTGCCATAGGACATGTGTGCTCACTGAAGAGAAAGTAACAGAGACGATGAGAAGAAAATGAGAGATCGCCCTCCCGGGGGATGGCCGTGTCACAGTCCCTTATCTTCCATTCTTCTCCTGGGATACTGGGCACGCATGCACACACACCCAAAGTGAGTTTCTAGCCACTGGGTCCAGGACTAGAACCACAGTCGGCCATGTGGGAGTCCAGCCATGTAATTGCCACGCCATCTGGCCCCACAGCAGATTATTTTGAGGTGAGAAATTGAACATTTCAGTTGAATTTAGTAATTGTTATATACCCACTAAGTGTTAGTACCAGACCGTGTAGAGGTGCCAGGTGACCAAGGCCCCGGTTACCCATAAAGGCAGAATTATGGTAGCAGGGGAGGATTTTAGTACAGCTACAACTGAGAGCACACCGAACAGTCAACCATAGCCCAGTGACACAGCTGCCAAACGGTAGTGAGGGCCATGTTGACATAGCAGACCTATAATGTGCTGAGGTCAGCCTCTGGCCTAGTGGGTAAGGCAGTTGTATTCTACAGGGCTTTCTCCCTCTCTGGTCAAATTAAATACATGAAGTTAAATAAAAAATAATTTTTAAAAAAGAATTTAGTTTTTTGATTGCTCAAAGGAAAGAATTGCAGGAACCTTTTGCATAATAGATATAATAGGATCCTGGAATGTTTCATCTGAAATCTTTCCTGACTAACCTTAATTTAAACACGCGACTATTTCTTACATATCTCACAGGGACCATATCCCAGATACTTGTGTTTTCCATACTGCTTTACCTCCTGGCCATCTTTTTCTCCTTCATCTCAAGTGCTTGCTTTCAGTACGAGGATACTAAAATACTAAGGAATGATCAACCAAAACTAAACTAAAGCTTTTCGGTATCTAATTTTCCTGGGTTATGTCTTTTGTTGGAAGAAGACTATTATATTTACTTGAACCCCTAAAACAAAGAAAACGGGTCTGTCCTGCCAGGGGTGCTGGTTGCGCAGATGTGTGGCGTGGTTGAAACCTCAGCACACTGCACGCGTAGGACCTAGCCATTGCACTGTAGTACATGAGACCTGAAGTTTAAGCAAGGAGAAAGGATGGAGCAAGGAGCCATGAGGGAACGCTGTTCGGTCGATTTTATTTACATGTACTTTTTTCTCAGGGAGATAGGCTTGAACACCGCCCACTAGTCACCTCCGGCAGATCCCGTGTGTGCTGGGTGGCTGCTCCTTCCTAGCAAAATGCGGGTCTCTGCTTCCATGGTGGGAAGGCCTGTTTGCAGGTGCCATCTAAGTGATCAAATATGTTAGAGGTGGGACGAGCACAGAAAATCTACAAACTACCATTTTAAGGTACAAGATAGACAAAAAGCAGATGCCTTTGACATTCCAAAAATGAATACCGGGGTCAGCAGGTGGTGTGGTGTTGGGGCGCTGGACTCCCACATGCCTGACTAATCATAACTCGAGTCCCAGACCTGGCAGCTTGGAAATCATGCCAGGCGCGAGTGCATGCGTACACAAAATTCCAGGAGGAGAGTGGAAGAGGGGGGATCGTGGTGTGGCCAGGCACCCTGGTGGGTGATTGCTCACTTTCCCTCTTACACTCTCTTTCTCTCTGGTGAGCACATGTGTTTTGGGGGGGGGGAAAGTGACTGTAATTTGTCAGATTATACAGTCTCACACTGAACAAAACATCTCATGTATAATATTGACTAAATTAATGGCTTTCAAAAGTAGCACATCATCATATCTAATTACTTTAGGAGGAATTGTCAGTCAATGTGGCTTCTTTAGTCTCTTACCCACCATTCAGTGAGTTGCGCCCAGCCTTTTAGTTAGATTTAAACTTTGTTAGTGATTTGAATGAACATTTTTGAGTCACTACTTTACAGCAATAAAGTCCGTTCATTCATTTTTAAACCATTTTTAGTTCTCAAAAATTTAATGGGAGTTTTGGTCTTTTTTGCATTCTTTAGGATGCACAGACAATTAGAACATTAACTCTCATCTCAAAAACCATTCAAACTTTGGGAAGCTGGGGAAGTCTGTCCAAAAGCAAGGTAAGTCTACTCTTTTATTTTGTTTTCACACTGTTCAATGTAATTCCCTGTGATCCCGTCTCCTTCATGTGCCCTCCCTAATGAAAATCAAAACAAGGGACCAGCAGATGGCATAATGGTTACATAGTCAACCACTGTTCACGTCCCAGACCCAGCAGCTTAAAACTCAGCAGGGCGAGCATGCATGCATGCCCAAAATCCTTAGAGGAAATCAGAAGAGAAGGGACTGTGGTAAGGCCATCCGCCCAGGGGGTGATTTCTCACTTTCTGTCTCTCTGTCTCTCTGGTGAACCCATGCCCCCTATAGCAAAAATCTCTCTCTTAAAAAAAAGAAAATACAGATGCACTAGAGAGAGATCACTTAAGTAGAGGATGCCTATTACTCCCCTGTTAAAGCGGACAGTTTTCATTTAAACTGATAATGCCTAAGAGGAAGAGAGCCTGGTGAGAAGGAGAGCAGCCTTTTTATCAGTGTCTCATCTAACAGCTTTAAAGCACATGGTTCCGAGCCCCACAGCTCTCCAAAAGCATATCGCTGAATCCTTTTAGGACTAAATCCTCACTTCAAAAATGCATTTCATTATATCTTAGTATATTCCTTAACATATATAAATCCTGTGTTTTTTTTTCATAGTCAAGTTTCAAGGAGACATTTATGTGTGAATTTTTCAAAATGTTTCAAGAAGAAGGATATATTATAGCAGTGAAAAAGGTATGATTGTTTTGCCCTAGAAATACTGGCATTTCTTGTCACATAGCATTGGGGAAAATAACATTATTCTAACAGTCAATCCTAGTTTAAAAAATAATACTTAAACTGTTCATTACAAAGGCTCATTTTCTTTCTCGTCTTACACAAAGCTACCAGTTTTTCAGCTGTGAAAATACCTAAGGAAGTTTTCGCAGTATAACAGTTACTACTGCCAGTGTCTCAGTATACTTAGTACTAGTATCTAGGGTTAGGTAGCAGGAACGCTATTGGCATTGTGGGCTAGACAGTTCTTGGTTGTGAGGGGCTACCCTGTGCTTTAGCAGCATCTCATGAGGTACTAGTTGGTATGTCCCCAGTTCCTGGCCATTGGAAATGCCAGGCGTTGCCAGCTGTCTCCTGAGGGATAGGGCTGCCTCTGGTCGAGAACCTCTGGCCCAGGGGTAAAGGCTTACTATGGTTTCTGATGTATATCGAGCACTTAATTGCTACACTGGAAAATATATGCATTATCGAGCATTTAGTGAATAATGTGGATTTATGGAAGTAGCCTGAGGAAAGTTACTATAATTTAAAATGTATGAAAGTCTCTAGTTTAGTATATAATAGTCGAACATGAGGCCAACATGTAAGATACAAAAATTATTCTACTTAGATGATGAAAATGTTTTGAAAGGACCTTTACTTTCTTGATTCTTTAGTTCTCAATCATCTAAACAAAACGTAGTAGTATTTTAAAACCCTGAAACTTGTAAGGAAAAGTGATTTTGAAGCAAGTCTAAGCATGGTAGAAGTACTGTATCATATTTATCGTAATCTTAGCTTCATGAACTCAGATTAGCCAGGCCAAATTTTAAAGGCTTCATTCACTCTCTGTAGCATGGCTAGCAGTTCACTGCCAAAAGTGTATTGTGTTGGACTATATGTTTCAACTTTAAAAAAATAAAATAAATTTTTTTTGAGACTCTTACAGGGACTCGTAGTGAAAACAATGATTTAAAAAATAAAAGCAGTCAGAAAATGTTTTTAAATCTAAAATAGTGCAACTTCAACCAAAAAGTTTTAAAGCAGCCATTGAAGGTTCCTGAGGCGAGGGCTTTCAAAAGAATAGGCAAAGAACAAGCTGCCCTCCTACTAGCTCATTGTGGAAACCTTTGTGGGACGGTGTAGGCAGACTTTTGTTGGCAAGATTACGATGTACTCTTTTGTTTTTGGTTGTTTTTCCATGTTTTGTGGCCGAGGCTGTGGTAGCCTGATTTTTTTCCCCTGATATAATCAGAATGTGAAGCGTTGATAATGTCAGTGGAGAAAGAATTTTAAGGGTGCCAGGCCTTCAGCTTGTTCGTGAGCTGCCCTGAGGCACCCACTCACATTCTGATGGACTACCAGCATCGCATGCCGCCGGTCAAGGTCTGGCTCTAGACTTCAAAGCTGGCATGGAATATTTTGCCTTAATCTCCTGGGTTTCGTTATTACTTACTGATTAAATATGGGTGCATGCGGTGCTAGAAATTGTCAGTTTGCGAGGTCTCATTTTTCCCTCTCACTGCTGCTGTTGACTGTCGCTCCAGAAGAAAATAAATTTTAACTCCAAATCCTGTATTAGTCCCCACAGAGTCTAGGGAGGGAATCTGCCTAGTCCTGTAAATATGGTGACCATATAATTTGGTGTCTACACCAGGACACTCTGTAAGAGTGAGAAGGAGTACTGTTAGTGATGTTGGTCCTGACAGGGGTGGTCCTGAGCAGACCGGGCCTATAGTCAGTCTGCCTGCAGTCTGTCCTAATAAGGGTTTTCTTTCCCTTTAAAGATCTGTATTTATCCAATAGTTCCTTATGACTATAGTAAATAATTATTGATAAATAATAAATACTTGTAAATAAGCCCAGGATAGCAAGTAAATACTAAGACATGAATTATTGTAGTAATTCCGTTACAGCCCATTAGTGGATGGCCTATCTGTGAGAGGCGAAGGTGTGATAGGGCATTTCTCTGGTGCCCTTAGATACTTGTACATGCATCACCCACATACAGTCCAAAAGGAACTCCACACCTGATTTTTCACCTACTGAGATTTCCTTCCAGCAGACTAGAAGGCAGCGTTCCACTGGAAAACCCCACAAGTGTGAGCTCTCTTGGGCAGAGTACAGCCAGTCTTACAGGAAAATGACTGTGCCTACAAATTCTACTTCAGATTAGGCACTAGAACCTCAATGTCCATGTCTATGGCAATGTACTTTGTTTTATTTATTATTATTATTTTTTTTTTAGGTCCTAGGCAGAGTAGCATAGAAAAATATAAGGAAAGGGCAAGAAAATTCAGGCCTTCTCTGAGTTTATAATAGCCAACCAACAAATTAATTAAATAAATGGGTAGTTCATTTGGGGGAAAGATAGGATTTTCCTCTCTTAAGAACAAGAATTGTTTCTTGAGCTGCTTTTCCCATGAAGAGACAGCCACATGGCCAGGAGACCTTTGACCTGTTGAGGCAGGATATTCATGAAGCTAAATGCCCTTCACTGGGTGACAGCCATTGCTAGAGATGGCTACTCCAAATTTCCTTGAGCTACCACATTCTCAGATTCTCCTGAGGAAATTTGTAAGTGATCCTTAGATCTCCAGGTTAAAACAGTGAACCCAGTTATACTTCAGTCGTTAACTGTGAAATGTCATCTCTCAGAGCTAAAGTCGGTTATACACACTAGAAGTATGCAAACATTGAGGTCAGCAGGTGGCTTGGTGGTTAAGACTCTGGACTTCTATATGGCCTACTTTGGTTCAAGTCCCAGACCTGGTGGCTTGCTTTCTCACTTTCTCTCTCTCTCTGGTGAGCACATGTGCGCTATGGTAAATTTAAAAAATAATAGTCATAAATAAAATGAAATAAATCATTTTTTTTTTTAAAAGAGAGAGAAGTCAACACGCTTTTCTGTAAAGGACCAGTGAGAAAATATTTTAGACTTTGCTGGTCACATAAGGCCCCTGCCATATATTCTTTGTTGTTTTTACAACCCTTTAGAATGTAATAACTGGGCCAGCCAGTGGTGTAATGGTTAAGGCAGCTAGATCCCACATGGCCAACCATGCAGTTCAAATCCTGGACCCGGTGGCTTCAAAATCACACTGGGCACATGTGCACACATGCCCCAAATCCCAAGGGGGAGATGGAGGAGAAGGGATTGCAATATGGTCATCTCCCCTGGGGGGTGCTTTCTCACTTTGTCTCCTACCCCATGAGCACATACACCTACACAAAAAAACAAAAAGTAACAATTATTCTTAACTCACAAGTATTCCAAAAACAGGCTGTGGGTCAAACTTGGCTCACTGGACCATAGTTTGGTGATCCCTGACCTGTAAAAAGGTTCACAGTCCTACATGTTGAGTCTTTGAGTCCTGAAGTATTTCAAAATTCAGTTTTTCAGAGTCTCAAAAAGCCACTCAATGGGAGAATCAGCAGAACCTGTAGGATCTTATTTGGAATTGACATTCTCTATTGTAATTTTGTTCCTGTTTATTTTTAAATTTTCTTTTTGTTTCACTGGAAAGGAAAGATGCTCAGTTTTAAACGTTAAAAGTGTACAAGTTGCTTTGTTACAATAAAACTAAATGTGTACACACACACACACACACACACACACACACACACACAAAGTACTTAGTATATACTATGTGTAAGGCCCCCACTGGATCCTAGGGTAGCACCCCATAATCAAACATGATGTTTATGTAGAACAGTGGATGAATACTCATATAATAATTAGATAAATACAGACTATAGCCTTATGCCAGTTCAGGTTAAGTTATATCCCAAATAAGCTTACTACAAGTCAAGCACAAAATTAAAATCTCTTTGTAGGGCCAGCAGGTAGTATAGTGGTTATGGTGCTAGACTCCCACATGGCCAAACTGCAGTTCAAGTCCTAGACCCAGAGGCTTGAAATTCACACCGGGCACATATGCATGCATGCCCAAAATCCCAAGAGGGGAATGGAGAAAAAGGGATTGCAGCATAGCCATCCCCCTTGAAGGGTGATTTCTCATTTTCTCTCTCTCTGCCTCTCTCTGTATCTCAAGCTAACGCACTCACCCTATAGCAAAAATCTCTATTTAAAAAAAAGAACTCTTTATATTCAGAGCCTTATAGATTTCAGAATCACAGGTACGAAATTATGGATTGAATTATTTCTGCAAGGAAATATATTCTGGGTTTTAAATAACTTAAGAATAAAATGCTAATAAACATTTTAGAATATGTTTATAGTAAACATTTATAAATTAGGAAATTTTTCTACAATTAAGTATGTGTTTTAAAGATTACTATTATGTATATTTCCTAATAATGAAGAACTTCATAGTAGGATCAATTACATGTAAGAGAAACTGAATTTTTTTTTATGATACAGCCGTTCACACAGTATAATATTTGCCCATTTTCCCGTTCAGTTCCTGGATGAAATTTCATCTACTGAAACTAAAGAGTCCAGTGGTACGAGTGAGCCCGTGCACCTGAAAGAAGGGTAATTTAACAAAATTAGACACGAAAGTCACATTTCAGTATAGACGTTTAGTAAGTACGAAGGCCATGGTCCGAGAGTGAGGAAGTCTGAGTTTCTTTCTGTGCTAGAAATGCCCGTCACGTCGGTCAGGTAAGTCACCCTCTCTGTTCTACAGGTACATCAGAGAAGGGTGACCCCCGTTCACATGCTCCCAGAGCTGCTTTGCGATTGCCATGAGATCATAGGTCTTATTTTGAAAAAGTAACAGCTCTTCAGAGTAGAGCGCTTGTTGGGAGTTGGGCAGTCACTTGTTTGGCCCTTTTTTTGGGTTCTGTATAGCACAATTAAAAATACTGAATTAGGGACAAGCAGTTAGCATAATGACTATGTTGCTGGACTCCCGTGTAGTCGACCGCGGTTCGAGTCCCAGACCCAGTGGCTTAATCTCACGCCGGGTGCAAGTGCTTGTGTGCCCAAGATCCCGGGAGGGATTGAGGCGTGGCCATCCCTCTGGTGTGTGGGGGGGTGATTTCTCGCTTTCTGTCTCTCTGTCTTTCTGACGAGTATACGCACCCTATAGCAAAAAACTCTCAAAAAAAAAAAAAATCTAAATTTATTGCAAACTTTTCCCTTTAGAAGGGCCAAACTATTGGGACGTCAGAAAAGTCATGCATTTTGCATAGAAAAATTCGTCACAACTTTTACAATGACCCAGTAAATCCTAGAGTCATAGATGACAAAGTCATTTTCATACACTTAATATAATTATACACAACTGTGCATGTCATTTAAAATTAAAGGTAATTCTTTGTTTTGGATTAACTTTTACTCTCTGTAGCTAAACGTGTGTTTCTGTTGTTTTGGCAGTGAGATGTATAAAAGAGCTCAGGGAAGAACTCGGATTGGAAAAAAGAATTTCAAGAAACGGTGGTTCTGCTTGACCAGCAGAGAGCTCACCTACCACAAGCAGCCAGGTAGTTGTGTTTACACTTTATTGTGTAGGAGCCCAGAGAAGACTTCTTAATGTGACTCCAGTGAATTCTCTCACTAATGTAGCTGTAGTTCATTTCTCACAGTCAAGCACTCACACTCAGCATGAAATAGAAGTTTGACAGGTGACATCATGTGAATTCCGTTTTTCTCACACGTTAACATTGCATGGCTAGAAATGGTGTTCCTTTAGTGTGCTCTGTTTGTAAAATTCCTGCCGAATCCCTGCTGTTATAATCAGTATATGAAGAGTAACCGTTAAACCCTGCAGAACTTGAAGTTTAACTCTTAGAGTGGAATTAGTAAGATTAAGGCTATGTCTGTGGTTTGCTGGAACTGTCAGCCATAGTCTTACCATACCACAGGTTCATGGTCGCTGTACAGCCATCAGGTCATTCTGGGTTGTCGGCCAAGCTAACCCCACATGGAAGATTCCATTTGCCTTCTGAGAAGACTCAGTTGTCTTCACAAATGTGTTATCTGGGTAAAGAAAGCAGTCTTCCTACAGTGTGATTGGACAGCTGCAGAGAGGCAGAATTTGTCCCTCAGTGGACTGACACGATACTTAATATAATCTCCCTTTTTTTTTTTTTTTTTTGGAGAGATTTTCGCTATAGGGCACGTGCGCTCACCAGACAGACAGAGACATAGAGACAGAAAGGGAGAAATCACCACCCAGGGGGGATGGTCACGCCGCAATCCCTTCTCTTCCATTCTCTCGAGATCTTCGGCACACACGCCCAGCGTGAGTTTTAAGCCACCGGGTCTGGGAAGCGAACCATGGTCGACTACATGGGAGTCCAGTGACATAGCCATTACGCTAACTGCTGGTTCCCAATATCTCCCTCTTTTAAGCTTATCCCTGTGAGATAAAACATTACCCACAGACAGCTCTTATTATCTGACATTTTAGCAAGTATAGTCTCTAGATCAGAGATCACATATGGTAGGAATCTCTTTTATCCAAAGTGGTCAGGATCCAAAGATGTTCGCTTAACCAAAAGGGTCGGGAAACCCAAGTCATTAAAAATAAGCAAAAAGATGGATACATACCTTAAATATTTATGTATTTGTTTACCAATCTTTTGATAAAGAACCAGGGTATTTTCTTTGAATATGGGTCTATAGATCAGATTCATTCTTTGTCTTGCCTGTGTAAATATACCCAGGATACATCATTTTCTGGTTGATTTCTCCAAAGCAAGTCTGGAACATAGATCTTTGAAAAGTAATGGAAGTACAGAATGCTTGTAGATTTTCACACTAATCACCCTAATCATCTACAGCTCTGACCTCTCATAAATCCGTTTTATTCGTGTAGGTGCACGTCTCCTTTTTTGAAGCTTTTTAAAGCATTTGCCTGATTTTCAAATAATAAACCTCTTGGTAAGGGCAGCTTTTTGTCACTTTATATAATGTTTAAGGAAATCACGATTACAACATGGAAAGCCGGCATAAATATTAGTAGGTTTGGGAGCAAACCCAGCATCCTAACCCGAAGAGGGAGGGCTTAATAGAGAGGGCCTGGCAACCATGAGCACTGGACCTTCCGTGAGCATAGTTACCAGGATGTTTACAGAGGAAATAGGGTCTGTGAAGAGAGTGTCTGCTATAAATTCTGGAATGGTAACGCAAGCATCAGACATAGGCGCTTTTCAGAGAACGGAGACACAGTTAGTAGAGTGCCTTGGTGGAGATTCTTGAGTCATAGAGTACTAATAAAAATGTTTGTTTCATTCTTCCTTTCAAAAGATTTAACCAAGGACCAGCAGTTAGCGTAAAGGCTATGTCGCTGGACTCCCATATAGTTGACTGCGGTTCGAGTCCCGGACCCAGTGGCTTAAACTCAGGCCAGGCACGTGTGCGTGCATGCCCAAGATCCCGAGAGGAGAATGGAGGAGAAGGGATTGAGGCGTGGCCACCCCCCTTCCCGGAAGGGTGATCTCTCGCTTTCTATCTCTGTCTTTCCAGGGAGCACACGTGCCCTATAGAAAAAACCTCTAAAAAACAAACCATTTAACCAGAATGACAGCATATGTTCAGATATATTAATAAGGCATAAGAAGCCAAATACATTGTTTTTAAGTACTCAGAAATTTGTTATAGCGTATATTCAAGTAACTAAAGATCAGTAGGCTATGCACGTGTCCTTCCAACTAAAAATTGTTATGTCAGTTTTTAATCTAAGCATATTTTGAACATTTTAAAATTATAGCTTATATTGAACAATATGAAGTGTTACCCTGTGTGTAGCGTAAGTGCTAATCATGTTTACATTGTAGTGTACTAAGTAAAATGGAAAATAAGCTAGTCATTCTCCATGAATAAATGAGGGGTTTTTTCCTCATTTAAAATCATTTATAATCTAAACCAATGGTCTAAAGTGTTTTTTGCTTTGTAATCTCTTCGAAGAATTAGATAGTAGCTGTGGACCCTTTCCATCAGGAAACTATGCGTACCAACTTGGACATGAAGTCTTGCATACAGCTCAGGAAGGTCATGGACAGTCTGTTCGCAGTTCTCAAGTTACCTCTATTCTAGCCAGTGATTTTAAGAGATTAAAATTCTATTGCATGATTAGACTACAGCAGGTATAAAGTAGACTAGAAGCTATGTTGTTTTCAATTCTTAAGAAATTTAACGTATTGGAGTGACTCTAGAAGAATGAGCATAGGAGGTTTTAAGTTTTAAGCATCCATGCTTTTTGTTGTAACTATTTTGATGGATTTTTCCAAATGTATTTATTACATGCTTCCCTGCCTTCTATAAAAGAGTTCATTGAACGTAAGTTACCCTTTCGTAGATGCCTTGGGGCTGTCATTAACAACATTAGTCATTACGTTGGGCTCTGATGGAGTGGTGTTTTCAGGGCTGCTGCAGGGTGTGTGCAGCCGCGTCCCCAGCTAAATGCCTTTGCTCCCCAGCTAACTGCCTCGAACTGCTGTGCTTTTCGTGTTCCTGTGTCTGCTTTATGCAGTTTTCCTCTCATCCTGGATAGTCAGGCTGTCCCCTTACGTTTCTTGTGATTTCAGTGAACCGTACTGTAACACCTTCCTTCCATCTCCATCGCTCACCTCCGTTTTTACTACTTGAGTACTGTGAGTGAGGTGCAGGCCCTGTTACTAAACTGACATGAGGTAAAGAGGCTCGGGTGAGTATGATAGAGTACGCGGGCCTCACATTCCATGATCGGCCGGCAGATTTTTGACTGGCTTCCTTTCTTCCTTCCTATCTCCTACACAGCCAAGACTGCTGGTTAAGTAGTCCCTTAAGAGCCGCACTTACTGTGTGACTTTGGTATCTGAAAGGGCACCTTCCAGATTCTTTGTAACCTCGCTCTAAATCACTGAGTGTTTTACTCGATATTTCTGTTAGGCAGCAGTATTTTAAATCAATATTTCTGTCACTTAGAATCAAATAATGTGGTCTTCTCCCAGTTTACTAGAAAAGGAATTAATAAAATGTTCTCCATGTTAAGGAGTTAAGTTTTTGATGCCCACTTAGGTCATTGCTAGCAGCAATGCAGTACAATTGAACTAACGTGTAGCAAATGAATATTGTCAGACATTGCATCCAGTTGTCAGCTTTTATTACCGTGACAGCTTTTATGGACCTGTGTGCTTACGATTATAATTTTATAACTCAGTCATCTTTTACAAGTGGAGGTTCTACTCGTGTGCTGGAATCAAATTACTGCTATCCCAGCCTCTTTGACGTTCCAACTTCTTTAGCCTCATCTTTTGGATTCTCTATGTGTGGCTTCACCAAATTAGCTCTTTTTATATATATTAAAAAAAAAAAAAAAAAGCTTATTTCTTCCACAAGAGAAAGTGGGGGGAAGGGATGTGAGACACTGAGACATTCATTCCCAGCTGTCTTCTCGCCGCAGGGTACCCTCATCCCCCACCAGCCTGGGTCACAGGCACACGCGTGTGCACCAGGGTGGACAGGGAGGTCTTGGAACACAACCTGGGGTGGGTTCAGCCTCACAGAACACTGCATTAGCTCTGAGCCACCACCTGGCCTCCACCTGGCTTTCTCTTACGTTCCTTCAACTTGGCATTCTCTTTTTTCCTTTTTTCTTTTTTTTAAAGAGTGATTTTTTTGCTAGAGGGCACATGCGCTCGCCAGAGAGACAGAAAGCAAGAAGTCATCCCCTCCCTAGGGGGGTGGACACACCGCAGTCCCTTTTCCTCCATTCTCCTCTGGGAGTTTTGGGCACACATGCACATGTGCCTGGCATGAGTTTTATACCGCAGGTCTGGGACTCAAACTGCGGTCAACTACGTGGGATTCCAGTGAGGTAACCATTACACTTTCTGCTGGTCCCCTCTTACAACCATGCTTTTGCATATGCTTTACTTAGAAATTTCTTTCTTTTCTTTTTCACCTGTGTAATCTGTTGACCTTTAAACCTCAAATCAATTGTCAGCTCTTCATGAAAATCATTTTAAACCTCTGGCCACGTAAGCGTAGCTGTCGCCTTACTGTGTTCCTTCAGCCACCTTAGCAGCGACATGGGCAGACTGAGCGGTCATTACCCTTGTCTGTCTCTTCCCTAGTTTTTAAGATCCTCAGTAATGGCCATATTATTATTAGTGGTGCAATGGCATTTGGTAGATGTAAATTCTTCAGATATGCTGACACCTGAATTGCTGTAAAAACCACTGCTGTAGGTTTATAAGGTTCCCGCCAAGTGTACTAATAATAGATTATCTAAGTTGACATTTAAAATTTTGTTCTGTAGAGTTTGATTAGATATTGTCTATTTTGGGGAGACCTGTTGTACAAAAATATATACACATAAGTTATACAATTTTAATGAGATCTCAAATGTCCTAACTCATAAAGCTTTTAGGCAGTGTGAAAGAAATTTCCACGGTTTTTAATTTTTTTTGTAGTTTTCATTATAGGGCATGTGCACTCACTAGAGAGAGAGCTCACCCGCCCCCAATGGAGATGGCTACACTACAGTCCCCTCTGT